ATTAAAGAGGGCACATATTGAATGGAGCACTGGATGTTATATGCAAACAATGAATCATGGAATACTACATCAAAAACTAATGATGTAATGTATGGTGATTAACATAACATAATAAAATAAAATGTTAAAAAATACATCACATATACTTCATAATGGGAGTTATAAAGTAGGTTATTAAAACACCAGAAAGGTACCACTGTACCACAGCTTCATCTGTAAGCCATAATGTATAGCCCCAGTTCAATATACTAACCAAAATCAAATGAATCATATAAAACCCCATGTACATGGTTATGATTTTTAGTTCTTACCAAAGTACAGTCTTTCCTGGCTTAAGCACTACAAAAACCCATAAGTCACTAGCTTCACAGTCTTTCAGAATTAAGGTCTTCATTTGAAACAGTTACAAAAGAGAAAGTAAATAGAAAAAAAAAATGCTCATCTGCTCATCAGCCACACAGAAATACACAGTAAACTCCTCTGAGGTATAACTGCATCGAATATATCTTAATGAACTAGAAAAGTTAATCATCTTGCTTAAGAATATAACTTATACTGAGGTGAGATTTAAGTACCAAGGGGAGCCTGATTCACTAATCACTTTCATTGTTCTCTATACCACTATAATATATATTAGTATTAACCTTGAAAAGTAGGAAAGGATAATGAACCATAATGGCTTTGGGCCCCAAATCAAGTCCTACAATCTCAGCCAGCTATGATGTCTAAATAACAGAGTCTAGCCTGCCAAAGCAAAATGCCAGGATCTGGGTGATACCAGGAGAAGCAAGAACAAAAAGGATTAATAGGTCACACTCTTCTAGCACTAAGCCAGCTCTAAGAATACTAGTAGCATTTCTGTAAAAAAGCCTCAGAAAATGAAAAATTATTTTTCATTCTAACCAGGCAATTATTTTATCATGATCAACCCATCCTGACCACTGAATGAAAACCTCCAGAGATCATGAGATTTTACAGATTCTATAGAAATCTCTGCCTCTTAGAAGATAATCATATAAATTCTTTGTCCTAAAAAGCCATTGCCTTAACTTTAAAGATGCTGGGGGTGGGGGTTGGGAGTGAGAAATAGGAAGGGTCTAAATTCAGCAGTTTTGTTGACAGCACTAACAGGAGTGTATATTGTAAATTGTAACATTGTAAACTACCCTAAGAATACTTACTTTCCAGAACAAGGATGTAATTATATGGACATGTTAAACAATAAGTGAGTATTCCCATACTCCCAAATCTGCAGATTGCACTCAGTGGAGCAAACTTCGATTTTTTCCCTCATTAGAATATTTTAAACAACAAAACCTGTTTAAATGAGTGGAGAGCTATGATTGATAATCTGTCCATGGTCCTAACTTTGGTTTGGTTTTCATTTCTTACTCCAATTGACAGAATTGGGTTAAAGCATATAACTACAGAGAGAATATTTCCATTACTAATCTTTACAGTGTGAATTTCAAAGAGATTGACAGAGACAATAAAATCGCCTGTAATTTATATAAATATAATTAAGAAGCATTTTAAATACAATTAATCTCCATCAGGATAAATCACGGTAAGAAAACATATCTGAAGAATTTCGGATTTGAAAAGGTTAAATAATATTTTGAAGGAAGAAGTTTAAATTTATTCTGAGTTCCCTGAAACATTGGGAAATAGACATTTTTTAAATTAACTTTGTCCAAAAGAAAATCCTACTTTAATTATACCAGACATTCTTGACAGACCTGCCAGATACAAATGGGATTTTCTCCTGGTAAGTCTACAAAAATCTCTTTAAAGAATTATCTAAGACTCTATTAAAAACATATCAGAACAGTGATATAAAAATCCTTGATTATTCTAAAACAATATCTGGGTCATATTGCTCTATTAGAAAATGTCTAGAAAATATTAATGCTGCAGAACTTACGTATTCACAAAGTTTAAGAGTTTAGAGCCCTTAAAGATAAATATTATATCTAGCTTTTAGAAAATTGAAACTAGTGACTAATATGTTAGGAACTGCCTAACATATAGAAAAACATGATAAATAAGAAGTGAAGAAGAGTTCCAGGTCCTATTGTTAATCACTATGGTCACAAGTTATCTTGAAATAGAATAAAACAAAACTTATGACTATAGGTTAATAAAAGAAATTATTCCCATCGCTGCAAGTATCACCTATGATACATCACTTTTGGTTTATCTGTTTATAAAACAGGGGGTATATCCTCCTCCCTATCTCATAAGGTTACCGTGATAATAAAATATAATGAATGTGAAAATACAAAGTTAGAAGTCTTAAAAATGTAAGGTACACTTAATACACAGTAATGCAGCTCCATTGTCACAAAGTAAAAATAGCAAAAAGTAAACAGCAAGAAAATAATTACAAACTATAGGGAGAAAATGTTTTAATAAGATTTTATTGAGGGCAGAAATAAATACCTTTGTATTAAATAAGTCACATTACAATTACTCAAAGAGAGGAAATTTCTTCTCATTAATGTGTGAAAAGAAATTTAAGGTAATAATGATCAACAAGTATTTTTAATCATATTTTTTTAATGTGGTATTATCTCTAAACTACTGACATCTTCTGAATGGCATTTTATAGACTGCTCTATGCTGAAAAATGGGACATTCAAGTTGAGCTACTTTGGAGACATAAAGATACAGACTAATTAGACGAGCAGAAAGAATAAAAGCTATTTGGGGTATCAAGACTTCCATTGAACTACTTTCCTTTGTAAGGATAGACTCAGAAAATGCAATTTGCTTTCAAGAGCAAGAATTAACACAGCTAACAACCCTCCCTTATTCCACAGAACTGAGCTTGGGGAAGGGGGCAGCAGTAGGGAAATGAAACATAAATTTAGACAATAAAACTGAACTAAGGTGATAAGATGAACAGAGTTTCTGTCAAATTCATGGGAGATTTCCTGGTAGAAGTAAATTTCTAAAGAAAGCATTAGAAATTACATGCTTTAAGAAATTAAAAACCTGGTAAAACTATGAAGGGTGTTTTCTGAGGTTAATTTTGCCAGGTTGAAGAATCTGACCGTCTCATTAGATATAGCCAATCCAAAAATCATTTGGATTAATCCGTTTTCACTGACATAAATAAACTCCTTATTTTGGGCAAGACATTTAACCTTCTGAATCTGTTTCTTCATTTATGAAGGATAAACAATCATAATAGTAAGCCCCAATTTTGTTCTGAATATCAAAAAGATAGCAGGGAATTACTAAAAAGAGCTTCCTAAATCGCAAAGTACTAATGAAAATGTCATTTGGTTCCTAATTAAAACATAAAAAATGTTTATGGGCTATCCGCAGGACCCCATAATGTAAAGCTAAGAAATTAAGTTGGGTAGCTATTATTCCAGCATTCACAAGAAATTTACTAATTCCTAAGTTAACCAATTTCTCAAAGTCTTGATTTACTGTTATCCATCACTGTATCCTGTGTTTTTCTGAAAAATACACTGTATTTAACTTATATAGTCTTTTTGGCTCTAGTTATGTATTTTATTTTATTTTTTCTAGTTATGTATTTTAAAGGGAAAGCTCTTTATAGGTGTAGCATGAAACTCTAGAAAGAAGGAAAAGAAAGCTTATCTAACCCATTTTTTTCTGTTTTGATTTTGTTTTTGCTTAATATTGTAGGCCAAGATATCTTTCCATACTTACTTTCTTTCCACACATATTGCAATGTACGCATGCCTATCAGCTCCAATAACCAAATAAATAATTTTTAAAGTAATTAAACTATCATTAAAATGTGGGCAACATCCACTTCAAGGCATTCTCTTTCTTTAGACAGTGGTTGTAGTGTAATATAAAGAACACACAGCTTACAGTCAGAGGACTTTAGATGGAACAAGGGCCCTGAAAGTCTCAGAATTTCTATTTTCTTATTGAAAATGGGAATGACACTTATTTCATGAGACTATTCTGAAGATTAAATTATGTCTATTTTTTTGTATAATATTCTTTCACTTACAGAATCAAAAAAACATTCACAGAGTTTTAGAGGGTTTTTTTTTTCCCATCTCTACAATATAATTTAGACATTGAAGTTTCCCTTAAGTCCTCTACTTTACAAATAAATTCTACATGGAACTGCTTTTATTTCTTTTTTTCAAACTAAAAATTTTTTAAAAACCGCCTGAGTCCTTGCTTTATTTTTATTTTTAAAATCTCCATTAACTATTTTATTTATACTCTTTCAAAACTCTTTTTGTATTATTTTGTTTTTACTAAAATGTGTTTGTCTTCCAGATCGAAAGATACAGGAGTTCTTTCCTCTATTTCTAGAGTAACAGTAAGATGCTTCCTAAACATAACTGCTTGTGTTATATAGACATAATAGGCTTCTAATACAAATCTTTCATCCCAGGGGCTAGTCATAATATTAAATAACAAATTAATCTCAACTGCATTGCTTGGCATCCTCTGGAATTCATGAGTTTTATTCCGGTTTAAAACAAATGGCCATATCTTTCTGTTCTATTCTACATTAACACTTTCCCTATCTACTGATTTTTTATTTGATTATTTCATGTATTTGAATATTGAAAAAATCTATCTCTAGCTTTATGGGTTCTTTTCCTTCAATTTCCTAATGGTGACAGCTTAATTAAGCATGGTAGTGAAAAACAATATATATTATTTTTTATTATGTTATGTTAGTCACCATACAGTACATCCTTAGTTTTTGATGTAGTGTTCCATGAGAAAAACAATATATATTAAGTGGGAGTCAGGATATCTAGGTTCTTGTTCTAGACTTGCCACTGACAAGGTGGACCACATTTCTCTGAGATTCAACTTCTTTTATCTTAAATAAGGGAGTAGGAGAAAGTTATTTTTAAGGTCTCATATGCTGATCATAGAATTAATTTTCCAAAGGTACACATATAGAGAATTATAAGGAAAAGGGAATAACAGAAATCAGCTATGCCCATATGAGTGAAATAGACTAAGGGAAAAAAAAGATATACCTGCAATTTCTTCTAAAGTGTTGGCATGCATGTCCAGCAACACAGTTCCATTCAGAATACAACTTCTCAGCTCAAACAAGCTGTGCAAGGAAAGAGTAGCCACATAGGGTTTGCTCCACCTTTCTCCTCCATCTTCCACATCTTCTTCAAACTTCAACCACCTACACAAATAAACATTATCAGCACATTGAATAGTATATTGTAGATGAATGATCCTTTGCCCCAAGAATAAAAAGTAGAAACAGAAAGATAGTCACATTGCTTCTTGGTTTTGTGGGTTTGGAAGTAAAAACTAGCCCAAATCATTTGGTTTATTTCATTTTAATTCCATTTAACAAGCATTCTTTTCATCATTGGAAGTTGTATAGAAGACAAAGAAAAACTCAAATGTTATTTTTATTAGTTTGTTGAGCTCTGAAAAAATATTTTTTAAATTTTTTTATTAACATATAATGTATTATTTGTTTCAGGGGTACAGGTCTGTGATTTATCTTAATATAAATGTTTATTCAGTGGTCACAATGAATCTGCTGTAGAATTAATAGAATATACTTCATAGAAGAAAAATGGCAACTGGAAAAGATGCAAATGAAAATGAAAGAATACTCATATTTCTTCAGTGGGAGGTCTCAAAATGGAATATTTAAGTCTCTTGGTAATTTTTCCATTTGATAGGAAGGCTAGTATAATTTGGGGCCTATTCTATAAGAAAAATACTCAGTAGGCCTGTTTGGATGAAATCTAGTGATTGCAGTCATTTCCTAGGGACTACAGAATCCTATGAGAATGGAGCTTAGCCTCCAATCCCTGGGCCTTGCTGCCCGGATGGAGAACAGAAGAGCCTTGATGTCAAGATGCCAAATGGGAGACCACTGTCTTCTTAGAGTGAAATGAATAATAATATCTGAGTTTAACTAAGATAAATGGAAGGAATAAAAAGAAACCAGTGATTCCACTGCTCTGGCACAAGCACTAAATCTCTTATTCTTTTAGAGACTTGTTCTCTAATCCTAATAGATGACCAGTTTAATTCCACCATTTTTAATGAACCCTAAATAAAGCCTAAATTGCTTTTCCTCCCATTCCATCCACCATTTTCCTCATTTCTCCTCTCCTTTGTCATTCTTGCTCTAACTTCCTCTCTCTATGCAATACCACTCAAGTTCTCTATAAAATATTATATTATTGTTGTATGTAATCAAATGATCTAACTCCAGTAGTAACTAGTTAGGGAAGCAGTGGATCAGCCAGAAATAACTAACCAAAAGGATTAATCAGAAATGATTAATGTGCAAAGTTCCAAGAAAGATAAAGAAAACTGTATCCATCCTCACTGTTCAGGAAACAAAAAGTTGTCAGGAAATGAAAAGGAAACCAATAGGGAAGAATATGTATGCCTGCCAACAGCTGACAAACAGGGAATACCAATACCTATCATGAGTTTATAAGACACTTGAAGGTTGAAAAAACTTACATTTAAGCCCCAAATCACTGACAATATTTCTTAAATGCTGGCAATTTTAGAGAATACTTTTGTGTATACTGTTGGGAATTTTTCATATTAGTGATTCTTAATGATTTTCAGGCTTTGATAGGGCCATAATACTTCATAAATCATGTGATGGTCATTAGTACTGTTCATCAACTAGTTGTCCCTCTCTACCTAGGTTATCACTACCTGGCTCCCTTTTGACCGGGTGAGACCATATGACTATTGACTAGTTCTGGACAAGGAATGTGAGCAGAAATTATGTGTGTCACTTCCAGACTGTGCTTTTGCCCATTTTTCTAATTAATTTGTTTTCATACTGTTGAAATTTGGGAGTTCTTTGTATCTTTTATATATAATATTTTTGTCAAATATATGGTTTGCAAATATTTTATCCTTGTCTATAGCTTGTCCTTATCCTCTTAACAGGATCTTTCACAGAACAAAGGTTTTAATTTTGGTGAAATCCAATTTATGAATATTTTCTTTTATGGTTTGTGCTTTTGACATCATGTCTAAAAATTCATCATCTAGGTCCTAAGTCCTCCTAGGATTTTTGCCTATATTTTTCTCTCAAATTTGTATACCTTTATGTTTTACATTTAGATTTATGATTTATTTTGAATTAATTTTGTAGACACTATGAGATATCAATATTTTTACCTATAGATCTCTAATTGTTCCAGTACCATGACAAAAAGACAATTCTTTTCCCACTAAACAGCTTTTGTTCTTTTTCAAAAATCAGGTAGCTGTACTTGGGTTGGTCTTTCTCAGTTCTCTATTCTATTCCATTGATCTATGTGTCTCTCTGAAAAGAAATTTTAAAAACAAATCTAAAGGTATCCTCCTTCCTTTAGCATAATTTCCTTCAGATTGGAGGCTTAGTCCTTTAGAAAAGAAGAATGGAATATCTGGGAATTCCAGTTTGATAGTTAAGGTAACCAAATATATGGATGCTAGCTTGATTTAGCCATAGATTTTACGAATATTATAAGAAGAAGCATAAGATACTTTCCATAAAAAGAAACTCACAAGTTACAAATATCAAGTCTAAACATTTCAAGATTCAGTGCTTTAAGCCAACTCCAGAATGATGCCAAAAGCGTTAAGAGCTGTTTAAATAATTATTTTTAAAAGACATATTAAAAATATATATGTATATATCCTATACATGTATTCTCTCTCTCCACACACACACACACACACACACACACACACACAAATACATATGTATATCTCTCTTTTCTGCTTCTTTATTACATTTCATATTTCAAAGATGGAAATTAAGAGGTCTGGGAACACACCAAATCCTGTTTAAAGATTTGTAGTCACTGAATAGACAGTCAGTTGCAAAATGCCTGATTGCAGTTAATGACCTAAAGTGCTGCAATTTATTCCAGTTTTCAAATAAACTCAGCTGACATTTGTTTGAATAGCAAACAAGAGTCTCACAGGCATGAATGAGACGTAATGAACAATGATTTTGAAAATCAAAACTGTAAGCCGATTGTATGACATTTTCGTTGGGGGGCGGATTTAAACTCTGAGATTATTTGATTTTCCTACAGTGTGTCTGGATCTGTTTTCATCCATGATTAACACATTGGAATCTCCTTCCACTAAACAGCAGCAACATAAAATAGGTGTTTCATGAATTCTTTGAGGATTAAGAGATGATAATCTCTTCTACAATACTCATATTAAAAATCTACAAAATAAAATACTTCTGCAAATTAGAAATAGATGTTCTCCTTAGAAATTAACTCCTTCTGTTTATTCTATTCCTACTAATTCCTTTTAACTTTTATAGGAATTTTTATTCTCTGGTTCTACCCAAATAGAAAGTAAAATATCATCCAAAATTATAGCCTTGGGAGAAGTTATGGACTCTTAAGAGAAAACATCCTCTTTTGGGTAGAGTTGAGGCTACAGATGGTGGAGGAGGGACATGGTTTGGGTGGAGGCTAGACAATAACATATGTAATCATAACGTGCCTATTTTAAAGGGAAAGGGGAAGTGAAATATATCCAAACATAGAAATATTAGCTGTTCTTAAAGAGATTTTTTTTTGAAGATTTTATTTAGTTATTTGCAAGAGAGATCACGAGAGCGCACGAGCAGGGGGAGGGGCAGAGGGACAAGCAGACTCCCCGCTGAGAGGGGAGCCCGACACAGGGCTCCATCCCTGAGATCATGACCTGAGCTAAAGTCAGGTGCTTAACCCACTGAGCCACCCAGGTGCCCCTAGCTGTTCTTAATCCATGTTATCGTCACATCTCACATCTCATGGAAAAATCTTAATGACAACTTAAACCTTTCCTAATTTTGAATATCAAATGCCTTCAGAGAACCAATAAAATTGTTTTGATGCAATAATCCTCTTTGACACTACCATGTATGTATCAGAGGCCAACTGCTACCCCCTGCTTTTGTCTCTTCTGAGCTCATTTGTGGGAAGCACTTTTAAAGGGCAACCACAGTGAGTCAAACGTGTTGTCTTCATAATTGCACAGCTGTGGTATCTTTGCGTGCTTTTCTATTAATAACATTATATGTTATTTATAAGCAGGACATTGTAATTGTGTTGATTTCATTAGCCCTTCTCATATGGCTTCTTTTAGGGTTTTTAAAAGTGAACAGCTGGTTTTCACAAACATTTATTAAATAATTATGATTCAAAAATTTAGTTTCAAAATCTAAAACTTTGCTTAAGTTTTGCTTGGCAACAACAGTGGGCATGAATTATTCAAGATGTGATATGTGACAGGTGCAATGTGCTGATAAAATATCCTTTTTATTTCTACTCTTAGGGTAGAAAATTATTAATCTCCACTGGAATACTAATCAAAAGAAAGAAGTGCTTCAAATAGTTATGCTAATGATTTATTGCATTTGGAAAATCAGATGGAGTTCTAAATTAACTAAAATTAATCTTTTTAGATGAACTAGGGCAACCAGAACAAAATTACTTCTGCCACTTTAAAACTCACTACATTTCTAAGTCCTCAGTAAATACGCTCTGTTCTTCCCTGACGTATTGTGTCTCAGCCAAAATTCATCTACCCTCCTCTTCAATGTTACTATTTTGATTGCTCATCAGATGTCTCCTTGAACCTCAAATAGCTGTACCATGCATAGGGTTCCAGAAGCATGGCTAAGAACAGAGGTCCTATTTAATAACATTAGAGAATACTAATAATTAACTGGATCAACTCTTCTGTTCTTTATAAATGAACAGCAATACATTTCAGTGGTTTGGGATAAACTTTTGTTTATCCCAAATGTTGTTCAGGTTAATCCATGAGAGCATGATAAAGTCCTATCTGCTCAACTATGATAAAGAGAAAGCTCTGCCATAACAGAGCTTCATGAGAGTGAGCAAGTCACAAGGAAGTTACTGCTTAAAATGAACAGATCACTATTTGATCTGGAGGATGAAAAATCACCAGCCATTTTAAGAATAAAGGAGTTACTCCTGACAAAATACACATTCCAATCTTACTTCTCAGCTCTACCATGCAGGATGACAGTGAAAAAAGGAATATAAAAGAAATGCTTCCAAAAAGTACCTCTCAGAGATAAAGAGTCTCAAACTAACCAGAGCTTCATAGTCATTATACCCAGCAGATATCCCTTCTTCCTGACATCCAGGAATACCTAGTATTTCTTCTAACCAGTTGAAGACAGATGTTTCTAGCCTTAATCAGGGAAGTCTGCACTTTAAATTCCTTATCAACAACTCTTCAATCATGAGAGAGCAAAAGTTATAATGCTAATTGGGGGAGAAGATGATCATATATTGTTTTTCTGTCATCAAAAAAAAAAAGATGAGCATTCATATTATATACATGAAAAAGTCCAAAGCACTTAGTTTTTGATGCAGTTGGAAGAAAAAAGCAGGATAGATGGTTCTTAATCTTAAAATCTACCAAGTCATATAAAAACTATTGCAAGTTTGGTTCTATATTTAAAATATTATAATAGGAAGCTTCAGAAAGAAAATGATTAACTTACATGATTTTTTCACTAAAAAGGGGAATGCAGACAGAATAACATAACATTAACTTAAAGTATTAAAAAAGGCAAATAAAGAAAATGATTTGACATAAAATAGGTAAAGGAAATGAACACTTAGTTCACAGGAAAAGAAATTAAAGCATATTTTTGGAAATATGTTCAATCTCACCAATAATTTTTAAAATGTAAATTACAATGAGATTTATTTTTCATCTATAAAATTAGCAAAAAAATGTAAAAGTTTGATGATTTATTCTCACAAGGGTTTGAGGAAAATAAGCACTCTCATACACTTTTCATAGAATATGAATTACTAAAACATTTTATAAAGGCAGTTTTTCAATATCTATCAAAATTTGAAAGCCTGCTCTCATTGGTACATAAGTTCCACTGGTAGAAGTGGAACTTCTACCTAAATACCTACAAAATAACCCAAAACATACATGTGAATGATCACTGCAGCAATGTTTGTAGCAAAAGCATAAAACAACCTAAATCCCTATCAAGAGTGCTAAAGTTCATTCATATTATTAAATGTAATGCAATCATTAAAAAGATTGAGTAATCTGTATTGATAATACAGAAAAGGGTCCAAATATATTATTAAGCGAAAAAGTGAGGCATGAACATTGTATATAATCCCTATTGTATTTTCATGCAGATCTAGGTATTAAAATTTTTACAAGAGACACAAGAACAGTGATTGCCTTTGAAGAGAGGTAACATGAAAAAGAGTAGAGGATATTTTTGCTTTATTTTCTTTCTATATTTTTGGAATTTTAAATTCTAGCAGTTCATTTTATTTTTTTAAATGTTAAGAGAGATGAACAGATAATAGCCATTTTAATTTTCTTCTATTTACTTCTAGTATTTTTTTAAGTAAAAGGGACCTGTAAAGACCATTCAAAATACATCAAAGAAGAATTAACTATTATTTATAGTATCATGACTGAACATTTAATTTCACACTAACTCTGGGTAGAGTTAAGGCAATGATTAAATACAACCACAAGTTTAATATGATCCAGTGGTGTACTGTGACTTTCAAAGGGCTGTTCAGTCCCTGGGCCACAAACAAATATAGCCAACAGAAAGAATTTCTAACAAGGAGAGCTGTGTGACCATTGAAGGGATAACCTAACAAAACAGCCAATGGAAGTGTTCAAGCATATCCTGCCTCCTCTTCCTAGAGTACCGCCCGTTCTGCTTTTCTTCCTAGCTAGTTCCAACTCGTCCTTCAAGAGCCAGCTCAGGAATCAATTCCTCCAGGAAAGCTGTCGTGATCCCTTCTCCTTCACCCTTGTGGTTTAGGTCCTTTCTACTCAAAATGTGATCCTCAAACCAAAAACATTGGTGTGACATCAGCCGGAAGCTTATTAGAAATGCAGGATCTGAGATACCACGTCTGAGGCATACTGAGTCTACATTTCAGCAAGACCCCAGGTGATTTGTATTCACATTAAAATTTGGGAAGCAGTGGTTAAAGGACAACCCTCAGTGTGCCCACAGTTCCTTGTGCACACCTGCATCACAGCATTCATTATACAGTATTTACAACTTTGTTTACTTGTCTAAATCCCTCATTAAACTGTGAGATTATTAAAGGCAAGATCTAAGATTTTTGTTGTTTTCTATCCGTTATACCTGGCACATAATAGATATTCATAAATGTTTGTTAAATAAATGAGCAAAAAGGTAAGAATGAATAAATGAAAAGTAAATGCAAAATTTAGCTTACTATTCTTTCATAGCAATTCATCAATTATATGGCAATATAGAAAAATTACAGTTGACAGAAAAGTAATTTTTGAAAAGTTATTTTGAAAAAACACTATGCTTAGATGTATATATATCCTAGAAACACATTACAAAATATTTTTACCCTCATCAAATAGTATATAAATAAATCCAGGAGTATACCTAAAGCCTCTTATGTTTTCCCTTTCTTTAAAAAAGTCTCACACTCAAATTATCATATAATATCCCTAGTTTGGGCACAGGCCAGCAGTTGAAAACATAGAAATAAATTACTTTTAGATTCCTATTGTTTTCCTGATGACACACAAATTATGCTATTGTTTATCTTTCAGGCTGCAGCTGTTGCTGGCTCTGCATCACTGTTTACTATAATTGCTGCCTTCAGATTTCATTCTGACCCATATCCCATTATAAGATATGCCCAGGCCAGATGAGCAATTGCAGAAATCAACAGCACTCACGGATGTTTGCAAAATCGTAGCTTTACAAATCTCTTTTCCAATAGCACGAACATTATTTAGTATACCTTCACCCTTCAACAAAAATCCTCACCTGGCTGTTTCTCGCCATTCAGCATCCTCACCTTCACGCCAACAAATCTCATCCAGTTCTGTGAAAAGGTCATGAGGAATGTGTTCCTCATCATCATCCTCAGTTCCAAGAATAAACTGTACTCGCTGTGATGGGGTGTCTATAGAAAGTGAGAGACATGAACATGCATTACCATGACTTCAAGCTTAAAATTTCCTGGTCACCAACTTCAACACAACTCCAAACTCACACGTCCCTGCCCCCGACTATGACAATCATCCAGAGTAGACTTGGGAAATTAAAACTAAATTTAGAAAAAAACAAAAACAAAAACTAAACTAAATTTAGCATTACATGAAGTCTAGTATAATTTGGGAGATAATTATTTAAAATGTAAATATTGAATATATATTATCAAAAATAATATTAAATGTTATGATTATTTTTGGATTATTTATAGCACTCATCATAGAAACTATTTCTGTATCTCCCTCATATACATACACACATTTTCTATCATCATATATGCTATACTTTATGGTAATATTCAGAACACACTATGATAAAATTCACTTACACTGAATGTAATTCACCATGAACTCCCTTGTGATGCTTTTTTATAGTCACACCTTTGCCCCTTCCCCAACCCCTGACAACCACTAATCTGGTCTCCACTGCTATGGTTTTGCCTTTTCCAGAATGCTATATAAATGGAAACCAAACCCCAAATCATCTGTGCCCTACATCATCTACTGGTAGTGTTTGCTTAAACATTTGAAGATCTCTTGTGACTATGATTATGGCGCAAGTCACTATGTTCTTGGTAAGGGAGAAAGATAATGTGTGGTTTGGACACAAGACACACAATCTCAAGGGTGCACATGATGTTCCTAGAAAGAACATGTTGTTTACAATTTGGGGGGGTCTGAAGTAGAGACCTATATAATTTGGGGACATAGATTGACAGTGTTTCCTACAAGGCTTCCAGTCCAGCTATTCGGCCTTAGAGTTTCCAGTTCGGTTAACTGGGTCTAGCCCCTGTTTTTAGAGGGACTGCTTGAGGACAGTTAGTCTAATCTGACCTATTTGCCCATTCTATAAATGAGGTGGCATTCCACTGTGTGATGGCTACAGGAAAGAGGGTAGGGAAGACATCCAAAGGTGTTAATAGGTTTTCTTTTTGTGTGTAGGAGTTGAAGGCACTGAGGACATTCCTGCATTTCTTTTTTTTTTATGTTATGTTAATCACCATACATTACATCATTAATTTTTGATGTAGTGTTCCATGAGAAAAACAATATATATTAAGTGGGAGTCAGGATATCTAGGTTCTTGTTCTAGACTTGCCACTGACAAGGTGGACCACATTTCTCTGAGATTCAACTTCTTTTATCTTAAATAAGGGAGTAGGAGAAAGTTATTTTTAAGGTCTCATATGCTGATCATAGAATTAATTTTCCAAAGGTACACATATAGAGAATTATAAGGAAAAGGGAATAACAGAAATCAGCTATGCCCATATGAGTGAAATAGACTAAGGGAAAAAAAAGATATACCTGCAATTTCTTCTAAAGTGTTGGCATGCATGTCCAGCAACACAGTTCCATTCAGAATACAACTTCTCAGCTCAAACAAGCTGTGCAAGGAAAGAGTAGCCACATAGGGTTTGCTCCACCTTTCTCCTCCATCTTCCACATCTTCTTCAAACTTCAACCACCTACACAAATAAACATTATCAGCACATTGAATAGTATATTGTAGATGAATGATCCTTTGCCCCAAGAATAAAAAGTAGAAACAGAAAGATAGTCACATTGCTTCTTGGTTTTGTGGGTTTGGAAGTAAAAACTAGCCCAAATCATTTGGTTTATTTCATTTTAATTCCATTTAACAAGCATTCTTTTCATCATTGGAAGTTGTATAGAAGACAAAGAAAAACTCAAATGTTATTTTTATTAGTTTGTTGAGCTCTGAAAAAATATTTTTTAAATTTTTTTATTAACATATAATGTATTATTTGTTTCAGGGGTACAGGTCTGTGATTTATCTTAATATAAATGTTTATTCAGTGGTCACAATGAATCTGCTGTAGAATTAATAGAATATACTTCATAGAAGAAAAATGGCAACTGGAAAAGATGCAAATGAAAATGAAAGAATACTCATATTTCTTCAGTGGGAGGTCTCAAAATGGAATATTTAAGTCTCTTGGTAATTTTTCCATTTGATAGGAAGGCTAGTATAATTTGGGGCCTATTCTATAAGAAAAATACTCAGTAGGCCTGTTTGGATGAAATCTAGTGATTGCAGTCATTTCCTAGGGACTACAGAATCCTATGAGAATGGAGCTTAGCCTCCAATCCCTGGGCCTTGCTGCCCGGATGGAGAACAGAAGAGCCTTGATGTCAAGATGCCAAATGGGAGACCACTGTCTTCTTAGAGTGAAATGAATAATAATATCTGAGTTTAACTAAGATAAATGGAAGGAATAAAAAGAAACCAGTGATTCCACTGCTCTGGCACAAGCACTAAATCTCTTATTCTTTTAGAGACTTGTTCTCTAATCCTAATAGATGACCAGTTTAATTCCACCATTTTTAATGAACCCTAAATAAAGCCTAAATTGCTTTTCCTCCCATTCCATCCACCATTTTCCTCATTTCTCCTCTCCTTTGTCATTCTTGCTCTAACTTCCTCTCTCTATGCAATACCACTCAAGTTCTCTATAAAATATTATATTATTGTTGTATGTAATCAAATGATCTAACTCCAGTAGTAACTAGTTAGGGAAGCAGTGGATCAGCCAGAAATAACTAACCAAAAGGATTAATCAGAAATGATTAATGTGCAAAGTTCCAAGAAAGATAAAGAAAACTGTATCCATCCTCACTGTTCAGGAAACAAAAAGTTGTCAGGAAATGAAAAGGAAACCAATAGGGAAGAATATGTATGCCTGCCAACAGCTGACAAACAGGGAATACCAATACCTATCATGAGTTTATAAGACACTTGAAGGTTGAAAAAACTTACATTTAAGCCCCAAATCACTGACAATATTTCTTAAATGCTGGCAATTTTAGAGAATACTTTTGTGTATACTGTTGGGAATTTTTCATATTAGTGATTCTTAATGATTTTCAGGCTTTGATAGGGCCATAATACTTCATAAATCATGTGATGGTCATTAGTACTGTTCATCAACTAGTTGTCCCTCTCTACCTAGGTTATCACTACCTGGCTCCCTTTTGACCGGGTGAGACCATATGACTATTGACTAGTTCTGGACAAGGAATGTGAGCAGAAATTATGTGTGTCACTTCCAGACTGTGCTTTTGCCCATTTTTCTAATTAATTTGTTTTCATACTGTTGAAATTTGGGAGTTCTTTGTATCTTTTATATATAATATTTTTGTCAAATATATGGTTTGCAAATATTTTATCCTTGTCTATAGCTTGTCCTTATCCTCTTAACAGGATCTTTCACAG